TGAACTACACTCTTCAGCCTCATTTCTATCACAGTTTCATTCCTTTGACTCGTTTCTTAGAACTCAAGAGAGGGCGAAGGGTGTTCTTTATTGGATCATTGCAAAATCCCCACAAAAAGATCAGGAAAGCTAATGTTACGAGCCACTTAGAACAAGAAAAAAGGGGCCTGGATTTTCTGGTTATTGAGGCAAAAGAGAAAACACAACCAGGGTGGCAGATACAACTACGGGCCACTCAGTACATGCACCGCCCTTATTTCCTTCGCCTTCTTCCTCCATACAGACTGGAAAATCTAAAGCTTGCCTTTCCCAAAATCGCATTAGCCAGAAAAGGCTAGGGAACTCCATTCTGGTGCATGGGACATCCTTGAGAGCATGTGGGCACAGTGGTGAAACTGGGGGCACCACAGAGCTCCCCAAACTTCAAAAGAGTTTTTGTTATGTTACATGGGGCACAAATACATGTTACCTAAATGTTCACACATTAAGGGAAGATAGTCAGTCACCAATGATTGACACGCAGAATGCGCTGGTGACAAACCTTGGCTTCTCAGAAAGTCCCATAGATCAGAATGTAACACCACTGCAGCACCAACCCACAGTTTCCCATGCAATGGTTCTAAGGAGTGATTTCCTACAAGCATTTCTTGCCTTTGTTCTAATCATAAAAATATATGCTTATGGGTTTTCAGACTCAGACAGAGTAAAATCTCTCTTGCTCCCTCCTCTGCTTTCTAGGATGAGTTTGAACTCTTAGGCACACACATAATCCCATCTAGCCCACAAAACCCATAACAGGGACGGAAACAAATGTAATCATCCTCATGTAGGAAGAGAGGTTGGACGAGGTTGAGGGATTGGTCTGAACTCTCACGGTGAGTCCATGGGTGGAGCTAGACTGCAACACAGCTCTCTACCTCCTCTGGTGCTCTTCCTGAGTAAAGCGCTGTGCCTATTCTGACTCTCCCCTGTGGTGTGAAGTCAGGGTGGACACACCAAGGAGGAGTGCCTCCACACTGCTTGGCCAGTGGCCGGCCCATGCCAGTTACCACTTATCCCGAATATCACCCATTCGAAGTTGGAGCTTTCTACTCTAGAAATGCATCATTTTCTCCCCTTTTCCCACCTGGTTAGCCTCTCTTCCTCACTTTCCTCTTGATTCATGAATTTCTTGTCCCCAGACGATCACATTTCCTCTCTCCTTGAGATACAATTACAAATCACGGTGTCATTGTTAACCTTACCTTTGAATACCTACAAAGCTTTCTCTGTGCTCCAGGTCAACACTAAACCTCTCTCAATGTCGAAGGAGTTGGGTATTTAGTGGGCATAAAGGCTGCTGTATCTCACCTATAACCACAACCTTCTATAATATCGCACTTGCAAAAGATTAAGATATACATTTACGCCCCATTTCAATAGTTTTAACATTAATTGATATATTTGTTTCTGCCTGCAATTACTAACCTGCTACCTGCTTTTTTCCCCTTCTGTGGTTGTAATAAGAAGTTAGAAAGATTAACAAAAAGGTTAAGAAAGGAGCAGGTAATGAAAAGGGTAATCTAGAAGCATAGCTTTGTGAAAAGTACCAAAGATATGTAACTAGTTGTTCATTAGGAAGAAATTTCACATCATACTAGGTTAACCCTGCTCATGTTCTACAAATATAGTGACCCCTCTCATCTAAATCTATACAGAAGTATCCTACAAAGCCTACTTTTTGAAAGGGTTTGAGAATGGTCTTGTTCTGATGAATGACTTCAGGCCGGTTCTTCACCCACTGCACCATTCTGAGAACTCCACTGCACACGCACGACCTTTGGTTTCAGTTGGCTGTTGGAGCCTCGAGCCAAAGGACATGCATCATGGAGGGAAGCCCAAGGGCTCTTGGGTCAGACAGGCATGGGTTTGAAGCCCAGGAGCAATCACTGAAGCTCTCTGAGCCCCAGATTCCTCATGCATAAAATAGAAAAATCAACTCCCATATCATAAGGCCACTGGGAACATTAAAGAAAGCCAGCCATGGAAGATTCCTGGAGCTCAAACTACTGGAGGTCTCACTGAGAACCATTTAATATGAAGCAGAATTCTCATGAGTTTCCTAAGGCATTCATCAAAATTTTTTCCAAAAAAATGATTAGTCAATACCTAAAAGAAGAGGAGGAGGGGGAGGAAGAATGGGAAGGGGAAAAGCAATCACTATTTGCATAACTTTCCTCCCCTTGCATGTGTTCACACCCCTACCTTCAATTGTCAGTACTTCTTCATTACACTGAAAGCTCCTCAGGTGCTGGAGCTAGGTCTCATTTTTGGTCTCCCCCAAAGGAGCACAGTGCCCAGCAGAGAAGAAGGGCTCAACATGTACTTGCTGTTTTTCTTCTTGGTGAGCAACTACTACCAGAAAAGTTAAATCTTGGGGCTCTTACTAGTAGATGTTTATTGTGTAGGGCTCTGCTTGTGTCCTTGATGGAAGAAGTTTATGTCACTGATACCCAGAAGTGGAGTGGAAGGGAGAGCCAAGTTTTCAAAGTAAATAGAGGCAAAGATCAGCAAGAATATGGAGACAGGTCCACAGAGTCAAGGTATCACCAAAGATTACTTGCTACTTCAGAGGGAGAAAAGTACCTTTACAATGGAAAGACCTGGCAATCACCTACTCAACCAAGTGATTCAACTTTACAGCATCAATAAATGGCCAGGTGCATGTAATATAAAACACAGCATCAGCCATGAAGTAGTCTGACCACACATGTTTTGTCTCTGTCTAATCAAACCTCTATACTGAACTTCCTGCATACAAGGAATATGTGGAATGGACAAGCCAGGTAAGTGACTCCATGAGGAAATAACCAGATAAACCTAGAATGTGGAACATTCCACAAATCAACTAGCCTTGTCCCTTCAGAAGCCTATGTGATGAAAAAAGAAAAAGGTTGCACTCCCTGTTCTAGATCGTGAAATGCAAATGAACCTCTCACAATGTATGAGTGAATCTTGATCAACTCCTGGTTTGAAATATAAATATATATAAATATTTATATATGTGTGTGTGTCTGTGTGTTTGTGTGTGTGTGTGTGTTCTGGCAGAAGTAACACTTGCTTGAGCATGATTAGAAGGGTAGTAATAAGGGTATAAAAATTTATACTTTTTAAAATAATTTATATGTTTAATTTGAACATTTCACCTAAAATGTCATATGGTATGCTTGAGTGTGATATTGTTATGTTACAGAATTACATGCTTATGATTTTGTAAAAGAAGATTTTGTAATTTAAAAGAGGCACATTATTTGTGCTGGACCCTGCATATATGATATCCATATGACTTCCAGGAGACAACTGAAGACATCTGAATATGGAGTGAACACATGAGGATATTATGAAAATGATTATCAACTTTCTTAGGATGTTAAAACTCCTGCAGTTATGTAAAAGAAAGTCCTTAATTCAACTTCTTCTATGCTTAAAAATTCATCCTAATAAATGTTAGAAAACATGCAGGCAAAGTAACAAAAAGCTATTCCTCTCTGCCCTGAATGGAAATTTCTTTCACTTGCATTTAATAATAAAAATGAATTAGAAAACTCTTGTGTTCATGCATTTGATCCAGTTACTGGGAACTACAAATGGCTCAGACACCATCTATAACAGATCCTGGGGACAGCAGCTGTACTGTGGAAAAAGCATAGCCCTCTTAATTGGGCATCATTTTCACTGTCCTTTGAAACCTTATTACCCCACACCGAGAACCCTATCAGTACGTAGCTAATACGTTGTTAAATGTGCCCGTTATTTACCATTTTTGTATAAAGTAAAATACTTCATCTTCTTTTTGTTGGACTCAAGTAGAGAAACAGAAAAAAAAATATCACAACCAGCATAACTGCTATTCATCCCTTCTAAGGGTTCAAATCCATCCCTTAGAGGTTCAGTTTTGGGCCTGGTGGGGTAGGTCAGCTAATTAGATCATCACCCCCAATACGCCAAGGTTGCAGGTGTGATCTCTGGTCAGGGCACATACAGGAAGCAACCAATGAGTGCATAAATAAGTGGAACAATGAGTTGACTTTCTCTCTCTCTCTCTCTCTCTCTCTCTCTCTCTCTTTCTCATCGATAAGTCAAAAAATTAAAAATAAAGAAAGGAATAAGTTCGGTTTTGAAAGGGCAGCTAGTACAGGGAGCTGCTAACAACCACACAGCTTTCTAGGAGCTACATTTTCCTACCAGCTGTAGTGGCTCCCTGGCCTCATGTGAGAACCCTGTGCTTAGCCCGAGCACCCCTGTCCACAGCAGCTGATTCACGCAAGTCTACTCACCCAATCCATTATTTGCTTTTCAGAAAATGATAAGGGATCCTGCTCTCAAGTCCATTTAGTTGAAAGTCTTCAACCAGCAATAAAAATAGCTTTTGATAAACTTTACAACTTGTGGTGTTGCTTCTACATAAAGATAACCTTGTCATATGATATCACTCAAGTTTGTTTGTTGAAAATGATGCAGGTGATATGTGAGAAATGTACGTATGGTGGCAATGAACTATGTTTTATCTAGTCTGGATACTTCACCACCTGAGCTGCTGGGGACAGGAAGGAGAGGCGGCAACTTCACTCTACACACCAGCTACTTCTATTCCGTCCAGAACCTTTCAAGAAGGACAGCTATTAGAAGGTAAACTTGACAGGTTAGAGCTTTTCCAAAGATAGGTGGTGAGAGAGAGAAACTACCTTATAGTTAAAAATTTTTATGACTTGGGGAAAAAGTATAAAGTGCAAGTCTGAAAACTAGTTCAAATAGCTCTCAACTTTTTGATTCTCTCCCAAACCTAAACACACCATCCTAAAGCCAAAACATAAATAAACTGAAACTTAACGGTTATAACACATATGTAATTCATTGTATATAGCTAAATATACATAAAAATCTCCGGGAAAATGTGAAAAAATGTGTTTCCTTTTTGATTTCTGACTTCACACTTATTTGAGAGGACAGGAAATTCTTACCTAGGTACAAGGAAGCATTTTCTTTCTTGACATTGTCATCTAAGTAGGTTGGTCCCAGGGTATAAATAGGTGTGGAGCCCATTCCAATGAGAATTTGTGCGCAAACGAATAAAGCCACATAGACCCAGTGATTATTTCCCCCAGAGTCCTTCAGGCAAGCAGGAGGCTCCAAAGTCCCTGTGGAGTTGCCATTCTGACACAGGCCGTCATTGGAGGCCGAGGCATTCAACTCTTGGATCTGGTAGGGAGGCGAGATGAAGTGAGGTAAGGCGAAGAGGGCAGCCCCGATGGCGATGAGAAGTCCACCCACAGCCAGCCACAGGGGCCGCCGACCCCGGCCACCAAAGTAGCTGACAAACACCACCACCACCAGGCTTCCGATGTCAAAGCAGCTAACTAGAAGCCCTGACTCGGAACTCTTCAGACTGTAACGCCTTTCAATGGTGGTGATGACGCTGCTCAAGTACCCCGAGACCATTAACGCCTGGATGAAGGTCAGAAAGCACATGCAAACCAGGAAGCAACGCGAATCGGTGAGGACCACATAGAGGCACCTTCTCCCCTGAAGCGTGGCCAAAGTGGAGGACACCGACATGGCTTTGCAGACGTCCACTCTGTGGTTGCAGTCCACAAGCCCTGCCATCTCTGTGGAAGTGGACGGGGCGGAGAGGCTGGGCGCCAACCGGCTCAGGCCTTGTTTCAACTCCTGGTGCCCCGAAGAATCTGTACAGCCTGGTTTGGCGCCTATGCTAGTGGGGTTGAGATCTGGCCGACAGGAGGTGCTGTTCAAGGCGGGTAAACTCTTGGACCTAAAGGTCTCCGGTTCGCACTTCTGTTGGACAGCTCCCTCTGTGGCCCGGGCCTCGAGCTGCTCTCCCGCCTGGGGCTGCAGCCCGGTGCCTTCGTCCATGGCTCTTAGAATTCAGATTCGATAGCTGATCACATTCAAGGACTCCGGAGCTTTTCATCCACCGGCACTAGGGACCGAAGCCAGGCCCACGCAGTCGTGCCCACCAGGGACCGAGGCTGGGGGATACAGAGCCTCGCAGAAGGACATCCTCACAAGCAGGGAGGCGCCCAGGGCATCCTGACCGCAGACTCTGCCCCGAGGCTCCGCAGCCTAGTGCCCCGGGGGGCAGGGGTCCTCGCTGTCCTGTGATGAGCTCTGCTCGGGGTCCACCTCGGGGCGGTAGCTTGCGGAAGGAGCCTGGAGCGTCCGGGGCGCATCCCCTCCGCCACCGCTCGGCCGGCCGCCCGGAGCAAGAACGCCCGGTGCCCAGCGTGGGGGCGCTTAGTGCAGATGCCCGTACTGCATCCCGCCGGTCTGGCTGGGCCAGAGGCGTGCTGTCCTCGCCACCTCCGCTCGCGACACCCTTGGGTGCAAAGATGCCAACCTGTGAAGCAAAGAAAGGGTGGTCAGCGAAGGGCTTCTGCGGTTAGGGCTGGCATCCCAGCGCCCCAGGCACAAGCACTGAATGACTCGGACGTTCCCATAGGGGAGCGAAGTCTTGGAGAAGGAGGCGACTGCAGGCTGCAACCTCCAGTGCGGGGAACAATAAGCAGTAGGAGGTCGGCAGAAACCCTCCCTCATTGTCTACCGAGGACCTGCCCCCGCCCCGCCCCTTTTGCCCTTAAACAGTGCATCTGCTTTTATATGTTAATAATTATCAACCTGGCAGCTCTGACTCAGAGACAGTGCCTTTTATTCGAGTGAACTAATTGCAACCTTTTGGTACTCCTACTCCATGACTCAAAATAGAAAATGCCCGAAAGAACAAAGGAAAGTTTTTTTTTAAATAAACACACTGCATTTCCAGTCGCAATTTGCAAAAAGAAAAGAAAAGGGGAAAGCTACGTGTGTAGAAATGTGTGTACACACTTGTGCGCAGGCACGTGTGGGACTGGATGTGAATCCGATCGCTCCATTAATTAGAGACACGTACTCAAAGCTCAAGGCAGCCGCAAAAAGGTCAACGTGTTTGCCTCTTTATTCCCAGCACTAAAAATAACACCCCGCGAGAAAGAACTATTCAATGACAAATACCAGGAGCGTTTGAGGCCGCGGCCCACACCAAGTCCCAGCGCCCAGTGTCAAGTGAAACCGAAAATCAATTTTCCCTACGGATGGGTGGGGAAGCCACAAGCAAACAAAGAGATGCGGGCACGGGAGCCCACGGAGCAGTCCTGGCAAGCCGGAGCCGGCAGAGAGGCGTGCTATTTACATCGAGCGCACCCCGCGAGGGTGGGCCCGAGGTGCGCGCTCGCGAGGGAGAGAGGGCACACACACCCACACGGGCGTGTATTTGTAGGAACCCCTCGCGCGATCCCGCACCAGGCTGAATTCAACGAAAGCCTAAAACAGGTGTGCCCCCGAGATAACACCCCGGTCCCTAATCTCGGGGACTCCCACTCCATTCCTCCAGCCTGGGGGAATGCGCACCAGGTGAGAAAGGAAAGCGGGACTGCGCTGGATTGGGTTTTCCATTCTGCGGCGCGCCTTTGTGTTGCTGCGGAGAAAAGAAAGGAGAAAGGGAAATAGGGAAAGGCAGAGAGGCTGGGCGGACAGGGGCGGCCGCTCTGCCGTCTCCCTCCGCACTGTTGGCCATACCCGCTCCCAGATTCCCCGCCTGCCAGCCGCTCACAGCCTGGACTTCCCCGTTGCCTACCGGCCCAGGCGCCTTCCCGGGAAACCCCACCGGTGGCCGCGCGCCGAGCCCGGGAATCCCCACGAACACCCTCCCGCACCGGGGGCGACCGGGCTCATGCCCAGGCGGGCACCCACAACTCAGCGCAGACTCGGATGAACAGGGAGCTTTCGGAGCCGACTTGGAATCCCAGGGACACCCCCTGCGCGCGCGCGCACTTACACACACACACACACACACACACACACACACACAAAGGCGGGTCGCGGGACTGGACCTCCGGTAACAGCTCGCCGCGCTGCGCACAAGCCTCAGCTACTCACTTGAGAGTCTGTAGGTCAGTCTGGCTGAGTGCAACTGCGGGAGGCGCGGACTGGGTCGGCGATGGAGTAGTTGGGAGCTACCTGGGGAGGTAGCATCGGTCCAGCCGCCGAGAAATCAGTGAATGAGACTGACTCAGGCTGAACTCTTCCCCCACGCCTCGCCTGTCACCCAAACAGACACGCGCGCACAGAGACGCGCTGGGAGCGGAGCAGCAGAGGGCGCAGGCGCGCGGGCGGCCGCCCAGCCCAGCCTGAAGGCAGCGAGCCACCCAGCAGCGGTTCACCTGCGCCTGCAGGGGAGAGAGGAATCCTGAAGCCTCTAGAGAGCAGGTATCCAAAAAAGTTAGCTGCTGAGGCAGAGTCCATTCTGAATTTTTTTTTAAGTATTTCTGTTCGTGGGTACTCACAATGTTTAAGAGACCATAGTAGGTTCTTGGGACCAAAGATGATCAGGACAGGATTCCTCCATTAAAAACCCACTGTCTTATGCAGTACCTCTGTAAGTAGCCTAAAACAATGGGGTAAATTCTATACAAGATGTGCTGGAGAACCCATTACAGCTTCATTTCCTGGAAGAAGGGAGATTGCAGGGATGGGGCAGAGGACTGGACTGCCAGAGTGGCAGAGCAGAAAAGGTCAGCAAGGGCTTCAGAGGTTGTGTGCTGTTGGCACTGCATTGCCCGTGGCATTCTCACTTGCTCACGGGAAAGCTGATTCTGGCAGTGGTGGGTGACTCGAGGCCACACTGAGGGCATTGTGACAAGTTAGGAAGCAATCTCTGAGCAAAATGTGATGAGGCAGTAAATTACAGGGGGACTAGCTGAAGACGCACTGAAAAGGTGTAAGTGGCCAGACTTGGAAATCGAGGTGATCTGATGCATGAGAAAATGGGCCAATTCAGGGTGTCTCCCAAGTTTCACACTTGGGTGACTAGGTGGCTTTGGTCCAATGAAAACACAGGAAGAGAAACATGCTCTTGGAGGAAAAGATGGTTCTCATTTTAGAGGTGTTGACGTTGATATGCCTTTGGGACATCCAAGTGTGCATGCCCCAATAAACCATTTGATATATGACACACAGGTAGTTTGGACGAGGGACATAGCATTGGAGTCAACAGCCCAGAGTTGGCAAGAGGTCAGTAAGGAAGATGATGCACACATCAAACAGGACAATATGTCCATGAGCTGTAGCAACCAGGAGGACCCTGTTGAAATATGACAGAGGGAGATTGTTCTACAATGACTGCTGACTACACTGGCCACGTCCTACAATTACTGGTGACTACGCTGGCCCTCACTGCCATACCAAAGCCACTTCACTGGACCTGGCCTTATGCAGTGAGAGCATTGTCCTCACTTTACAGATGTGAGGAGAGAAGTGGAGAGTGAGCAAGTATCTTGGTAAAGGTGTACAGCTAATCTGTAGACACTATGAACCCATGTGCTCCAAAAGTCCACACCCTTACCCCTGACTCAGAACTCTCTCCCTTACAATGGTCAAGCAGTTGGACTTTTCAGTGTGCCTATCACTGTTCATGATCTCACTTGGGTCCCACAACCACCTCTACAGTCAACGCTTAGAGGACATCCCCTGCCACTGCCCCCTCTTCTTGAGATATCCATCAAACCCCACGTTACTTTCCCACAAACAGGCAAGGTGACTCCAGCAGCCACCCCACCCAGTGGGCAAAGATTTGCAGCACTTCCTCTGCCTGAGTACTGATCTGCACTTATACTCTGGATTCAAACAGAATTGACCTGCCTATTCCATCCTCCCAGGGCCTTTGGCCCATCTCTCATTTCAGCTCCAGCCCAGACATACAGTTGTTCTATAGCAAATTCAGTCTGTTGGGACAGGTGCCAGCAGAGGGCTCCCCTGCTGAAAGTCAAATAACCAGGGAAGCTCTGTTTTTTCACGGTCAATTACCATAGTTATACTAGAAACAACTCTAAGAACCTATAGATTTTTTTATTGCCACCAATAGAAAGATAGTGATTTATAGATAAAATTTAAAGGGCTCAATTAGCTATTCATATAGGAAACAAGAAGAAAATATTTAGCAAGATACATTTCTTTTGCCTCCTCTTTTATAGTTGAATGTGACCTTGGAAAAGAGCAGGTGCATCTCCATCAGCCCTAATCTTTGGGTTCACAGAATGGGGTTCTGCTAGCCCCCTGGTTTATGTCACATGATGTCAGGGAATACGGCTGGCTGGAGCAGGACACCTGCCTTGTTAGGTGTATTGGAGGAAGAAGCACATGACTGAAGACTCTTCAAGTTTCCTGGCTTGCTTATGCTTCTTCTAAGTCATTAAACACTTAAGTTGCTTCTTTCCCAATCATCGTATAATAATACGGTAGCCTTAGGAATTACCTAGAGCATTCTATGGGCTTAAAATCTAGCTACTCTGGAGAATAGGGCAGGAGAAGCTGGGGGAGCCTTTTCTCCATCCCCCTCCCTCCTTCCTTAAATAGGGTTCACTTCAGAGGTCTCCTAGACACAAGAAGAACTGAGTTTTGGTCCAGAATATTTTCTGGACTTAAAATATAATACAGAGTTGTCTCTGCTATAACTGAATTAGGTATCAGTTGTTTAAATGGGAACAAATTATATTTGTAAGGTAACCTTTTTTTTATTGAAATGCAGCTATACTCAGAGACCCTGAAGATGTATCCAGATTATTAAGCTCTGTGACATGTTTAAACTACATCTATATTCTTGATCAAAAAAATAGTTTATGGTATAACTGATTCTGTCATTTTTTTCTTTTTTGAATTTACTTTCATTTTAGTTGAGATCTCATTGACACATAACATTGAATTAGTGTCAGGTGGATGACATAAACATTTGATATATGTATATATTGAGAAATGGTCACCACAGTAAGTGTACTTAACATCCGTCACCACACAGTTAAATTTTTTTTCTTGCGATGAGAACTTTTTTCCTACTCTCTTATCCACTTTCAAATACACAATACTCTTAACTACAATAGTTGTAAACTGTTAACAGAATTTGGCATTTACACCCTTGCTTAGAAGTAAATTTCAAGCTGATCTAAAAATACATAGGGAAACACAGATCTGGAAAAAAGTGGCCAACCCCTAACACACAAGCAGTCACATTATTGGTGTGTCCCGGTTGTCCTCACTCCAGGCCCTCAAACTGAGGCTGTGTGTCCCCAGAAGCCCTGGGCCACCTGCCAGGAGTGAAGCCACATGGTGAACATGGAACATCTTCCTAGAAAGTCATCTTTATGAAATTCTGCAAGTAATGTGATGAACAGAGATATATATGAAGCAGATATATAATGGAATGAAAATAAAAACTCAGATATATATATATATGCATATATTTTTTAAATAAAACAGGACCTTTTTAAGAAATGTGATGTTTTCTTAAGGTTACCTGGGGCTACTGGCATCCTAGACTCCCTGGGGTATGTGGCCACTCCCTTCAGTCAGACCACTTTTGTTGGAAAGTTTAAGAAGTACCTTTATCTGATGCCAGTCTTATCCTTAGCAGGGGAGTAATTTATTTAGAGGGCCTCAGGAAAAAAAATACCTCAACCATACAGTCTGAAATTTTCTTCATCTTGTCCACACAACTCTTTTTCAAACAAATACCTGTGGGATTGTGCTATCACTCATTCACACTTCAGTGTGGGTTGCATCACTGATACTTCTTCCTCCATGTCTGAAAGTAACCATGTTTAGAAATTGGGAGGTGGGAGGGAGGTAATCGGTGTTCTCCTGGGGAAATTGCCACTGCATTGGGTAATTTGAGGGAACTGTTTACCACAATGTGGCCAAGTGTGGGGAAACCATAAGGGTGTGCCGTACCCAGGAGTGGGCAGCTACACTAGTGGGAAGCTGCACTTGTCCCACACCAGGCCTCAAGGGGTGGGGAGGGAGCAGCTTTCGAAAGTCGGACAGAGAGCACCATATGGGGACAGCCACAAATGGCAGCTGCTGCCTTCAGTAGAAGGACAAGGTCAGCTTGCAGAGACCCTGCAGGGAGAAAACTGGGTGAATAAGCACAGTCTGGTCTTCACTCGTCTGATCTCCTGCTGGGTTGAAGCCATTGGAAGCCAACAGAGCCAGGGAACTGCCCACTGAAGCAGTCTGAACAAGTCAGCCTCCAGGGCACAGAACCGACTGCTGCGAAGTGGGGAGTTGAATGGAGGCAGAAGCAAGAGAGACCAGCCCAGCCTAAGGACTGAAGGCAAGCAGTGAATGGGCCAGAAGGGTTGACAGGGGAATAGACGGACTGAAAGACTGAAAACACAAAATGTCTTTAAATACAGCAAGCCCTTGAGTTCTGTTTTCAAAACTTAAAGCTTTACGGTAAAAACAGATTTAGAAAATGTGATGGGCAGGTTTTTGTTCTAAGTACAGGGTAACACGATAGAGACTAAAGGTGAATCAAATGGAGGTGTGCAGCATTATGAAGCAGCACACCGAGCTCTTTGTATGGCAGATGGTTACATCCACCCCACAGTCCTTCCCCAACCCTCTTCCACATCTACATCCGGGCACACACCTGGCCCAGTGGCCAGAAGAGCATTCACATGGAATGACTAATCACATTCTCCTGGCCACATTCTCCTGACCACTCCAAGCATAGGCCTGGGTCCAGAATCCTTCCTTGGGCTTGTCTAAATGGAAGATGAGAGAGAAATCATCTTTCCTTTCTAATCACCAAGCTGCAATGCTGCAGATTAGACCCTGCTTTGAAGCCGTGTTCCATGCCCCATGGAAAACCCCAACCTGCAGCAGTGGAGAATGAGGCCACGCACAGTGAGGAGTGATGCACAGACAGAAAGATAGTGTTGACAGGAACAGTGGAGTCCCTGCTGGGAGCTATCCCTGAGCTTAGTGCTTTCTGTCCTTCCCTTTGATATGAGGCAAAAAAATTACCCCTTTTACTATAGCAGTTTGAATTTAGTTTCTATCACTTGCAACCAAAGGAATCCTAACTAATGGTATGGATTGTGCTGCATCCCAAAAAAAGATATGCTGAAGTACTAACAGCCAGTACCTCAGAATGTGACCATATTTAGCAAGTTAAAACGAGAGTGGGCTCTAGTCCAACATGACCGGTGTCCTTAAAAAAAGATGAAATTTGGAGATGGACGCACAGAGGAAACCCCATGTGAAGAATGGAATGAGG